ATTGAGCGGCCGGAATTGACGCATCGGCGTTTGCTCAATTCAACAGAGCCACCGGGCAGAACCTNGTTGAAGATCGTGCTTGCCGCCTTTGGCTACGCCAACATGAGCAAGGACGAACTCAAGGCGGCGCCTTTTGAACCAGCGCCGACGGAGACCGATCGGCGTCAGCTGGGACGAAGTCTTCCACGCCCTCGCGCCAGCACTCCGCCTCGCGCCTGCAGGTTCGTGGCGCCACCTGACACCTGTTGGCTCCTTTTCCCTCTTGCTCCGTGCGCTCACCACCCGGGGTCTTTGCTTGACTACCGTCGGGGGGGCGAGTAGCGGTTTGAGTTTTCGATCGTCCGCTCCGTCGAGATCTTCGGTTTTAGTGATCTCGATCTCGCCTGGAAACAACAGCGGCGAGCACTGAGCGAGCTCCAGTTTGCGGTACGTTCAGTTCGATTCACAATGGTGCCACGGCACATGCAGTGGAGCAGAACGTCACTTTTTTGGTGGTTTGTTGCTAGGTCCCCGCGTCGAACGATGCGCTCGCTGCTTTGTTGGCGCACTGCTCCAGCCTGGTGTCAGTCAAGGTGCGGCCGTTACCATTTTACGGACCTGCGGTAGCACCGTGGACAAGGCCGCAACGCTGATCCCTCCCTGGTCTGGTGGCGCCCTGCAGGTGGCGATGTTGTGCAGCGCCTCACTCACGGCACTTGCGATAGCGCGCGGGGGGTGCCTGCGCGAGCTCGACCTGTCGGATCACGAGCTGACCGATGACCTGACGCCATTGGTCCGTCCTTGCGTGTGATCCCTTCTCTCTCGTGTTGATGACCATTGCAACTCACCCAAGGACTCTTCTGTGCGGGCGGGGCGAGTGCAGCGGGAGATTCGAGAGCTCGAAACGCTGGTGATCGGCAAGCCTGTGGACACCAAAGAAGCCTTGCGTCTGGTGCTCAACAACAAGGACACACTGCGCCACGTCACCCTGGGTCCTGCGGTATCTCTTGCGCCACCTTTCCGCCCACGCTCATGCCCATGCCCGTGTGCACTCAACTTTCTGTCCAACACATTGGCTCGATCTCGCCCAGCATCTGTCCGCACGCCACGGCCAGAACATCCAGCGCGAAACACCGAGCGGGCTGGTGGCCGCCGTTCTACACAACTGCTCGCAACTGCGGTCGCTCACGATCGCCGGCTCGTCGTACATGATGGCCAACCATGACGACGCCTTCCTCGCCGTACCCGGTACGCCCGACCCACTCCCAATCCCCGGTATGCATCCCCTTGGCGGCACTGAAAGGAGGTTTGCGGCCTTGATGCAGGTCCGTGCGGTTCGTTGGAGAAGCTGACGCTGAGGGGACCCTACGGTCTCACAGACAAGGCGATCGCGCGCTTCCCTGAGCTCTTCCCCAGTACCGCCTCTGATCACTTCCTTCTTTTCAACGTTCAACGCACCGCTGTTGACAGCACCACGCCGTGTTGCGTGCGTGTGTTTGCCCATCAAACCTTAGATCTGAAGGAATTGACGCTCAGGAACTCGCTTCATCGATTCTCCAACCGGTCGCTGGCGCTGCTGCGTCCGATGGGCCAACACCTCGTCCGCCTCGACCTCGGTGGCTACAAGGTGCCCGCTCTCAGCTCCCTGATTTTTTCTCTGGGCTCCCTCGCTAACGGGCGGTCGCGCGTGTGCGCAGCGTGTCACCGCGGACGCCTTGCCGTTTGTGCTCAAGTCCTTCCCACACCTCACCCTCTTTGACACCACCGGTACCGACCCGCCAACACCAACTCGAGTTACACGTCGTGTAATGCACGTTCGCTCATTGATGCGTTTCTGGCCATGCGTAGGATGGCTGGAAGTCCCTGCGAAGACACATCAGAAATACCTCGAGCGATTCCAGCGCCGTGGTGTGGAGACCACCGTGTTCAACGACACATGGTACCACGCCAACATTGAGGGGCGCGCGCACCCACCGAGCAATGTAAGCGCATAGCTCTGAGCACTGACTTTGCTATGCGTGCCTGTCGTGCTCGTCGTAGGTATCACCCTACAGCTTGTACCCGTATCTGCACTACGGCGGTGACTGGCACACGAGGGAGGACCTCATGGAGTCTTTCTACTGAGACGCCCAACACGCAGCCGAGCCGCCCGGCTCAGGAGATGCAGCAACGCACGTGTGGATCATTGCATTTATTTACGTGGGGCGGAGATGTGGTGGAGAGAGGAGAGCGTTTCAAG